AGTAGGAGAATGAGTAGGAGATAGAATGACCAGGATACAGTCAAGTCTGGATCCAAGCAATACACATGGGCATCTGTAATTTTTTTCTCTACCAGAACCAATTCTCTCTCAGCTTCAGCTAACAAGTTTCTAGGACTATTTTAAGTCCTCATCACCTTGTTAGGTTTGAAATAAAATTCTTAGTTCTTGATTTGTTAATCTAGTTGTGGGCTCTAGTCAGTCAATGTCTCCCAGTAATTTTTGAAAGTCATTAAGAGTCTGCAGTTGATTTCTCCTGATTTGTACTTTCTGTAGTTGAATTTTTCTTGTAAACCTATCTTATATCCTTGTAGTTAATAGAATCTCCTCTTTGTATTTTTTTTCCGGGAGCCATTTGTAATCCCCAGCAAGACAATATTTTCTTCACTTTCTTCAACTTTTCTAAAGTATCTACATTTGAATCAGATAGTAAAATATCATTAATATAATGGTAAATTATAGATTGAGGAAACTGTTTACAAATTATTTTCAATGGCTGTTGTACAAAATATTGGCACAAGGTGGGGCTGTTTAACATCCATTGTGGGAGAACTTTCCATTGCTACCTTTAAATGGGCTAGGAATTATTATAAGTAGGCACCAGGAAGGCAAAGTTTTCTCTATCCTGTTCTTTTAAAGGTATAATAAAAAAAAAACAGTCTTTTAAATCAAACACTATAATACGCCACCTTTAGATAATGAGAAGGCAGGTTACTTCCAGGTTGTAGGGAGTCCATTGGCTGAATTATTTTATTTACAACTCTTAGATCTGTTACCATTCTCCATTTTCCAGATTTGTTTTTAATGACAAATATAGGAGAATTCCAAAGACTGGTTGATTCTTCAGTATGGGGAGCTGCTCCTGTACCAGCTAGTCTGACCCTTGTAATTTTTCTGATGTCAAAGGTCATTGTTCCACCCAGACAGCCATTTAAAGGTAGGGTTGTTGGTGCCTTCAAGAGGTCATCAGCTGTTTTGACCTGTTTATGTACAATTTGAACAGTCTGTGACTGCTCTAGAGAATACCTTTTAATATTGCTCTCAGAAGCATTCTCTACTTTATGGTTTGTTTTTGAGATTGGAGGAATGTTGATCTCTGTTTTTTACTGCTGTAATAAATCACATCCCCATAAGTTCATGGCTATATTAACCACATATGGATTTAATTTTCTTCACTGTCATTTCGGCCCTAAGCATTCGACCCATCTTGTGCTTTGTTTCTCCTGAGATAAAGTTCTAATTCCTAGAAGCTGTATGTTTATCTCCTGAAGAGGCCAATTTGAATGCCAAGATTTCAGCTCAGTTAGAGTTGCATTTGCTCCAGTGTCCATAAGACCTTCATTTTCAATGCCATTTATCTGTATTGTTAACTTTGGTCTTTGATTGTTTATAGAAGTTTATCAAAATATTTGTTTTATGATTTCTCCTGAAATTTTTGCTTTATCTTCTAAAGCTGTTCTGTCATCCAGAGCAGTCTTTTTTCTTTTCTTTCTTTCTTTTTTTTTTTACAATAGGCATTAGGTCTTTTAATTGCTCTGTGGAGGAGTTTCCCTGATGGCAACAGAAAATGGTTGAACCAAAGTTCACATGGGGACCTCTGAGAGGCATCCCCAAGAGTCATCTTGATGGCAAGGGGTTGCCTCGCCTGACCTTTGTTGATCTGGATTCATTAGTCCAATGTCAGCCTTTGCCACACATTCTGCATATTCCAGAAGGCTGGGGCCTTGTGTTTACATGATTGCTAGGAAAAAAAAAACCCAAACTATTGTTTTAGGAATGCCCTGCCAACAGTCCCTTTTTGGGTGATCTTGTTTACCACAACTAAAACATATGACATTTTGATTTTTCTTTAAGCCTTTGGAAACCACCTCTCCTATGCAAGCCTTGTCATGATTATGAGATTCAATATTGAATGTATTGCTGTGGGATGGTCTGTATGTCAAATGTGTTGCTCTGATTGGTCAATAAATAAAACACTGATTGGCCAGTAATCAGGCAGGAAGTGTAGGCGGGACTAACAGAGAGGAGAATTGAGAGAACAGGAAGGTGGAGGGAGACACTGCCAGCCTCCGCCACAACAAGCAGCATGTGAAGATGCCGGTAAGCCACGAGCCACGTGGCAAGGTATAGATTTATAGAAATGGATTAGTTTAAGATGTAAGAACTAGATAGCTAGAAGCCTGAGCCATTAGGCCAAACAGTTTAAATAATATAAGCATCTGTGTGTTTATTTTATAAGTGGGCTGTTGGACTGCCAGGGCTTGGTGGGACCCAGAGAGAAAACTCTCCAGCTACAATATATCTTGGATTCATTCCTCAATGGGTGCTGATCTTGCCTTTAAAGGCCTAATTACCCTTTTGCATTATGAATTAGAATTTTCTTTTTTATTTTTATAATAAGCTTTACTTTTTTTCTTAAAATAGATCCTCCACTAAATTAAAGAAGCACACTTAATGCCATTCAGTCCTTCACAGTTTGAATAATGAGATCTTCTTCTACTTGATCCTTTTAATAATTGTTATTCACAGAGAACAAGTGCTGATGTGTAATCGTGGGTCAGAGTGCTTTTGTCCAGGAACCAGCAAAGCATTTCTGAAAGTCCAGAAGAATCATTTCCACCTGTGTGAAAGTCCAGGCAGAGCCTAGGAATTTTCAGTAGACCATGAAGGCTGGAATTCTACTTCAAACTTTTCCTTGAATTTTAAACAGTCTCTTCTTTTGTCAAAATATTTTATCCAATGGTGGGGGCAGCTGGCCTTGAATGAGCTCCTCAGCGGATGGCACTGAGCTGCGTGCGTCCTCTGCCACTACACCTGCCTTTCCTTCACGGACAGGGCTGCCATTCCTGAAGGGGTCATGCAGGGAAGGATGTGACTGACATGTGATCACAGGACTAGCCTACAACCTGAGGCTGAGGTGCTAAGGGCCCTGAGACTTCTGGTCCCACACTCAGCCAACTGAGGATCAGCCAGCGTGGGAGAGTGTGGTGCAGAGTTCAGTTCCTGTGCTGCAGAGTCGCCCAGCAAATTCATGACCAACACAAGGAATCTCTCACTGAGAAAGTGCCAGCCTCGGGTTGACCCTTCCGGACCACCATGAATTAACATTTTCAAAAGCCAGATATTCAATTAGTATTTGTCTAGCTTCTGGAGTTGGCATCATTCTATTTACAGCTGAAGTCAATCTTTGTAAAAAAAAAAAAAATTGTGAATGTTTCTTTTGGGCCTTGTATAACTTTAATAAATAACTCAGTTCTCTTTCTGACTTTCTTAACTCTGTCCCAATCATTCAAAGCTGTTGTACAGCCTAGAGTCAAGGTGTGTTCATCATATATAGAGTGTCTTTGTACATTAGCATAATCATCCTCTCCAAGAAAGGGGTCTTGGGAAATAACAATACCTCTAGTCCTACTTCCTTGTTCAACAGTCCTAGCCTCATCTTTCCACCAATTCTTCCACTGTAATTGAGGACCAGGCTCCAATACTGCTGTAACTAAATCTTCTCAGTCTTGTGGGACAATTCTGTTACTAGTTGCCCATGAATTTAACATCTGCCTCACAAAAGGGAATGCATATCATATGAGACTATTGCTTCCTTAAGTCAACTCTAACATTTCTACAGGATTCCAGTGAGATCTGACACAGCTTTGAGGATATCTGTCATTTGGTGGTTGTTCCTGTGTGGTGACTGGATAAATTAAGGTTTATTTTTTTATAATCTTAGACTGCTCCTTTCTAATTTCATAATGTAATAATGAGGTTGGTTCTCATTTAAACTCCTTTGTCTGTATCTGAATATTTTTATTATCTGTTTTAATAACTTCTTTCAATGCTTCTAACTTATCAGTCAAAAGTTTATTATCTTCTTTAGTAATAATTTGTAGGACTTATATATTATCAGTACTAATATTTTCTAAGGCTTATATCTTGTGGTGTTTTCAAGGTTGATTTCTCATCAGTCCATTTCTCCTATTTGGCACTGATATAAAAGCAATTTTTAAGGATAAAATACAAATTGCCAGACTGATAATATGACCGACTTTATTTAGTTGTTTATCTCCTCATTTATTTTACTATATGTATCCTGTCCATAGTAGGAAGACGGCCTCGTTCTCTGCATTGTGATCATTCCCATTTTTAACATAGGGAAGGTTTTAAAATTATCCTTTCCCTTTTTTCTTTTTTAAATTTGATTATTTATTTATTTTAATTAATAAATTCATTTAATAGCCTAGTTTACCATTTAAAAGTTCTCAGGTGTCTTTCCAGTTCTGATGCCTATCCTCTGGGTTGTGCAGATGTAGTGACCATGTCTGACCAGCAGGTGGAGCAGGCGCAGCACCAAGGCAGCATTGCTATGGGAGCTGCAGGTGCAGAAGCTGCAGTGACTTGTGCTCTGGCTGGCGTCCTTGGTGACTGCCTTGGGGAAATTCAGCAAAGCAACTGGGCTAGCCTCTACCCTGGTGCTTGCTAGTGCCAGGTAGAATTGGCCGGAGAGGCACAGCTATGATACAAGGGCCTTGCTGGAGGCAACTACAGTAGCTGTGGGGTGTGGCTTTCCTTCCTGCCGCCAGGGGCTTGATAACAGCTGTAGGGCCCTGGCCCCCCATTTTGGGTAGCTGTTGCCTTGCTTGCCGACCTTGACCAGGTGTCCTCCCTATGCTGATTCCCTGCTGGTTTTATTCCTCCTGAATGCTCACCTGAGGTTCTTTGTTTGTGTATCCTGCATAATGGGTGTTAACAGCTTAGATGCAAGAATGTAGCGAACTTCTGCCCTCCAGGGTTCTCCCATTGTGCTGTAAGCCTGTATTTAAGGTTTCCTCCCTCCTTCAATAAACAGCATTCGGCATTCTGCTGGGGCGAATGACCCGCTGTTTCTTGTCTCTATTTTTTAATCCACAGCCCCTCACTCAGATGTGGTGATCAGGTGGTGGTAACCACAACAAACAGCAGCCTCAAAAGTTCCAAGCCCTGAGCCTGTCTCAAGGCCAGCTGAGCTGCCTGGATTGGGAGCCTGGATTGGTTGGAAAAAGCTCCTCAGGCAGGAAAGCAGCCTAGAAGGGGGTATGAGGAAATAGTGAAGGGTCACTCTGGCTCCCCTTCTCAGGACTAACAATGGCGCTCATAAAGTCTACCAATGCCCTACTTTGAGTGCCAGATATAAATGATTTCTTTTACCATTTATTAATAAACAAATCCTGAGCACAAATATTTAAAGGCAAAAGAAAACCTGAGGCATATCCAAGGGACCATGAAAACATACCACCTCTGCTCGTTTCTCCACTCGAGAAGTCCCTTGCTCCTCACCCCACCTCCCCCACCCCAGCTTTTGTGGTCCTAATTTTTTTGTTTTAAATTGTTTTTGAAACAGGGTTTCTCTGTACAGTACTGGCTGTCCTGGAACTGGCTCCATTTACCAAGCTGGTCTTAAACTCAGACCGGCAGGCCTCTGTGTCAGGAGTGATGGAATTAAAACAGCGTGTTTCAAAGGCAGGTCTGTGCCTTTGTCTTCCAGCATCTGTTTCCCAGGACTCTGATGCTCCATCACTGGGTGTGGTGGCATGAACCAGGATGGGGTGCAGAAGCAGGATGTCGGGAGTCAAGGCAATTCTGATTGCTACCAGCTGTCACCCCCACCCCGAACTGCTTTTCTGTGTAATCTTTTCCCTCTTTTTCTGTTCATGATGTGAACTAAGGGGGACGCTGTGTAAGGTTATTACATAACAATACGATGATGGAGCAATGGTTCATGGGATCTTACCCTTCTATACGGAAGACTCCAACATGTCAAAGAAAGGTGGCTAGTAAGGATGTGGTATCTTTTGATAAGTAATTAGATTGAGAGACAGATAGGGCATTAATAGCACACATTTGGGGATGTGTCTCTTGAGTGTGTTTCCAGAGAGAAAAAAATGGGAGTAGGGGCAACCCACCTGGCTATGGGCAGGGCACCATGGCATGGCTGAGACCCATCATAACAATGTTGCCATGCTTCCCTTCCAAAATGAGCTATCATGCTGCCAACAAATCTTCCCTCCATTTAGACTTTTTTTTTCAGGTTTGCATCACAGCAATGAAGAAATTGATTAATCCATGGGCCAGTGTGTGTGGACTCCCCTGCCGCAGTGGATCAATGGCCATTTCTGCCTCTCCAGATCCACTCTTCCAGAGTTTCCCTATCTCAGCAATGTGGGTGTCAGATCTATGGGGACTGCCTTAGTCTCTAGGTTCAGCCTTTGCATGTCCAAAAGGACAGTGACAACTGGGATATGAATTTCCCAGCTCCCTCCTTACAGAGCCACTGCTGGGCAGGATGCAAGTTTCAGCCCAGAATGAAAACTCTAAAAACATCAGTCAGTGAGATGGTTCATTGTGGGTAATGGGACCTGCCTCTCTCTAAGCTGATGAACTGAGTTCAATGCCCCAGAACCACACTGTGGAAAAATAGAACCAAATCCTCACACACACAAACAGCCGAGCGAGGGTCACAGGTCACACAGAGTAAGGCCCAGTGACCAGTGATCTCCCAGGCCCCAGTGAGGCCCTGTGCTTTAGCTGCAGCACCAGGAAAAAGCAAGGCAAAGCAAAGCAGCCTTGGAGTCACCCATGTGTTGTGAAAGTTTCCTCTGAGATGGAAACATTCCATCCTGCAGGGCAGCTGCTTAAGCAGGAAGCTAAACAACTCAAAAGACCTTCAGGAAGTCCCTGAAACCAACCAGATCCCCCAGGCCCCTCTCAGCCAGGGCAAGCAGTAAGTTACAAAGGAGACTCAAAGACCAGACCAGCTGCCTGGAAGAAGCAGAACCCAGGCGAGCTGCCTGGATGAGGTTTAGACCAACTGAGGCCCCTGGGAGGACGCCCTCTGACATGCTGAGCTGCCTGCAGGCTGTGCTGTGTGCTCCAGGATCCCAGCTCTGGGAGCTGTCACTCATGCAGGGGTGGGCTCTGGTGAGGAGCTGTCTTTGAGTCATTTCTGCTCCTGTAAGTAATTCTTGACCCAAACATTTTCTTGTAAGTAACTCCAATATAAAATGGATTGGTTCGCCAAGTTAGACTTTGGCCAAGGGGTCCCAATCTGCAGTGAGTAGATGTGTATGTTGAGTCTCCCCAGGAAACATTTTGTCACAGAGCACTATGGAGGCCAGGCCTTGGCAGAGCAATGGATCCCACTGTTGGTGTTCAGCTGGTTACATAGAAAAACAAGTATTTGGGGAAAAAACAGTGAGTTTATTATTCCACATGTGTGTTGAACGTGTGTATGTCCCCTCTGGGGCACAGTGAGTTCAGCGCCTCCCATGTAGAAATATCAGGAGGCAGAAATGTGTGGTGAGGGTTGATGGCACCAGGACAGCACAGGGTGACACTTTCATGTGTAAGGTCATAGGTTATGACGTCAGAGGAGGGATGGGTATGGGCAGCCAATAGGGATTAGGAATCACCGGGAAATGGGTTCATCTGAGAGGACCAAGCCCTCCAGACAAAGGGCTAAGGAGAGCCCCAGCCCTAACACCCAAGCCAGGGTGACAGGGACAAACACATGTGTGAATGAGTTTAGTCATTGAGTTCATGTTTTCCAACACGCTGAAGATCCCAAGTGTTTCGTCTTTCTTAAATATGTCTCCAGCAGTCACGTCCAGACATCCTTTAATGCTAAAATTGGCATTAACTCCACCTAGAAGATGAAGATCCAGTCAGGTTCAAAAGGAAGGAAGGGATCGTTCAGGAAACCTAAACAACCTCACACCCAGGAGTCCAAGCTCCAGCCCCCCTCCTATGGATGCAGGAGCCCAGGTCCTGAATTTTTCCCTCAGTCCCAGGGTTCTAGACTCCATCCACATTCCCTCTGCTGCAGCAGTGAGGGCCTCTGACCTCCCCTCACACTCAGGGGTCAGTCCCCATCCCTCCTGCTGAGTCCCTGGAGTCATGGCCTCTGTCTCACTCATCCTGGGGATGCAGCCTCCAGCACTCACCTCCTTCAATGGCAATGTCGCCGTCATAACAACCAGTGTCCTTTGGACAGAAGACAAAGTTTTTGTGGCAGGAGCCCTGATAGTGCAAGCAGACAGGACACCTGATGTTTTTTGACTGATAGGAGGCTGAGGAGAGAGGAGGAGGTGGCTGCACAGTGCGTTCTCAGCTGCAGCCCCAGGCAGATCCCTCAAGTCTCTGTACCCAGAACCCAAACCTGAAATATTGATGTAGTCAAGTAGGACTTGGCTGATGGCAGCACTATTGTGCAGATCACTTTCACAGCATTTGATATACATGGCAGCCAAGATTCCAGGTCTATTGGCATAAACCTGGACATGTCCTGCATCAGGAAACTCATCACCACACATAGTGAAATCGTGGGTATCCTTATCTACATGAATGCCTGAGCCTTTGCTCCTCACTAGGAGAGATTTTTCACTTAAGAGGCACGAGAATGAAAGCCAGGCTTGGATGGGGAGGATGGCCAGGCCTGGGCGCCCACTTCTTGGGTCCCCCGACGTTCCCCCTCCCAGGGAGAGCACACTGCCCAGTGACAGTGGGACACAGCATGTCCTGTGTCAGCCAAAGCCTGCAGCACAAGCCTGGCTCCTTCTGCCCTGCCCCTGCACATCCCATTGAACAGTCTCCACAGCCTGCCCTGAGCCCCTCCTTCAGGCTGCAGCCTCACTCTGCTCACCACCTCCTCTACCCTGCTGGATTTCCCTGCACACTCTGCCCTTCACACCCACAGCTGGCTCCCTGTGGTCTGCTTCTCTCCTTCCCCACTTCCCTGAAAAGCTGCCAAAGGACCCAGTGGCTTAGCAGAGCCGGAAACAGGCCCAGCATCCTTCCTTCCTGTTTCCCATCCTCCCTCTGTCCCTTAGTCCCTCCTCCCCGTTCCTGCACTCTTCCCCAGTCCTGAGTCTCACCCAGTCCAGGCTGCTCGGGAGCTCCCTATACAGCTGCAGATGAGGTCGGCTGTCTCCACCCACAGCTCATGCTGTCTTTACAGACAGGTGCCACACACACACACACACAGTTCACGTGATAGTGGGGAGCCAGCCCAGGGCTTTCCCCCTTAATCTTCCCAGAGCTTCCTCATATACTCCCATCAAGACCCGGAAAGCAAGGCATGGGAAGAGAGCCCAGGCCTGGGGGGAGCTGTGCAGGCACGGCAGGGAACACAATCCAGGGCAGGGCTGGGCTGGCCAGTACAGGAGTGTGGCTGTCCATCTCATCTCACACCTACGTCTACTTTCAGGACTGTCTCCTGGCATATCTCCTCATGTCCGGTTTCCTTGGTCGCAAATGATTTCCATTCAAAAGGTCTTTTAGTGAAGCCACTGCCAAATTTACACAAGATTCTCTTGTGACATTTCAGAGTATCTGTGGAGAGGAAAATCAGTAGGGTGTGTGAGAGTCAGGGAGCCGCAGTGTCTGTCCCTGCAGCTTGTAGCTTAAGGGAGAACATTACATTCTGAGTTACATTCCCAGTGCCCTGGTTGTGACATCCCTGTCTGGATTAAGAAGGGACTCAGAAGTCAAGGCTTCCAAGTCTGCAGCTCTGCTCACCCTGTTCCTCCCTGAACACCTGCTCTTCTCAGAGCCTCCTCATGGATTTAAGCTGGTTTTTGAAACTTGGGAAGAATTTTGAAAAATGTTAAGAAGCAACCATGAAAAGATTAGGGACAATATGTGGTGTTTAGTACTCTGCTTGTATTGGTTAGTGTTAATGGGAGAGACAGAGAGATTGGAACATACTAAGTCTTATCAGAGACAGATTATTTTAAAGCACCTGTTTCCTTTACTAGTTTAGCATCTAGGAGACAGGTGATCAATTGTTTAAAGCATTTTACAGTAATAGATGTTTACATTAAAGTCTTTTTTGTAGCGCCCAGATGCTTTTGGATCTGGGGGTGTAAATACCTTTTAGCTGTTACAGTTTCTTACTTGATGATCCCTGGACTCCAGTTCTGTGGTGGTCCTGTACCATTAGCTGAACAGTGAGTTAGAACAGGGAACTGGGAAGAGAAAAGCTTGTGGTGAATGAGAACTTTTCTTTTTTGGAATTAGGGACAAGGCAAAGATCAGGGCCCTGTCTGTGCATGTGAGAAACACAGGCGAGTAGATCTGGAGTGAGGTAATGAAATGAAAGCTCCTATCTTAGCTGGAAATCTTTTCCCATTAAGTAACTCTCAAAGTGCAATTAAGTCTGGTCAGATGGGTAAAGCTGTCCTCTGTACCCCGACAATAGGGAAATGAGGAGAGGTGGCATCCAAAAACTTTCAGGACTGTATCGGTGGTTTTGGTGTCCAGAAGGAAAGAAATGGATCGCTTCCCTGCTGTGTTCTGGGTTCCCTGCCATGTCTGTAGCCAAGCCTAGGTCTGCTGGAGGTCTTAGCTTGATGTACCCATGTGTCTTGGTGCCCGGGGGCAGTCAGCTGACCGGTTGTCTTTCTAGGAGGCACTTTCAACAAGGCTGTTGATGGCCTGGCAGGGCATTCGCTATCCCGTGGCCTTTTCCGCACTTAAAACAGGGACCCAACAGCTTTTGGGAGTTAGTGAGTGCCAGCACTTGGCAATTTTGTTTTCAGCCTTTTGATCTCTTCCCTGGCACACCTTAAATGCCACAGATGACTCTTTTGTCTGTGGGGTCAGGAGCCTTGCTCTCCAGATGCTTAAGTTTTAGTCGGGGAGATCTGGGGAACAAGAGATGGATTTTACTCCATGTCCTGATTTTTTTTTTAATGATTGATGGCTTAAGGACAGCTTTTGGAAGATCTGCCAGGAGGCAGACTATACACTGATCCTTTTGGAAGACTTGCCTGAGGCTATAAGCAGATTTTTGGTTTAAGAGCCATCCTGACTACTGTAAACTTGTTTGCATGGATCTTAGCCACTTCCAGACCGACTGGGCCTCTCATGGAAGTTTGAGTCAGCAGAAGAGGAACAGTACAGAGCCCACCCACCGCCAGAGACCGGAAGTCAGCAGAAGAGGTTGCAGGTGGCAGAGGAAAAGAAGACATCAGACATGGGGAGGGAGGAGGGTTCAGAGCTTTAGCAGAAAGCTTGGGGATAAAGTAACTCTTTTATTTGCCCGTTAGCTGGCAAAAGTTCCCGCAAAGTTGTTATGTGGCCAGATTTACTGGTATCCACCAGTGTAAGGGGTAAATGTATCCGCCCCCTTGTCCCATGGCTGTAGCCGAGAGAAAAATAAAAAATTAAAATAACAAACTGGGATCAGACTCCAGTCTCAGGCATCCCCGAGGAGAGAAGAAAGATCTATGAATCAGCTCAGGTTAACCCTCCGCTTTGTCAAGGGAGAGCTAAGGACTGAGGCATGTGCGGCAGGTGGTCCACCTGGTGGACCAAGGCAGCACTGACCCCCTCCTCAGGAGCAAAAATGTGCCATTGCCAGCGCAGCAGCCCGAGGACAACCCCAGGGGTGTCCGTCACAAAGAATATAGGTCAGACCGCAGCCGCGAGAACGGGGGAGCACTCACTGTGTAGTGAAGAAACATGGCGGGAGCAGTAGCGGTGTGGGGGTCCCGCAGAGGTGAGGGACTCACACGCACGCTCGTGGTCTCCGGTCTTGTGGTCTCGCTGGAGTGGGGAGGAGGTGGCAGCAGTGGTGGTGGTCATAGCTGGGCAGGTCCTCGGTGATCTCCCTGAGTCTGAACAGCACCAATGAAGGGGTGGAGTGGCGCTCGTGGCTGGCCGTGGCTGCTGAAGGTATACAGTGCTAGTGGCTGGCACTAGATGCTGTGGTGGTGGCAGAATCATGAGCCATGGTTACCTTTTTAGAGCTTTATTAGGAGAGAGAGAGAGAGAGAGAGAGAGAGAGAGAGAGAGAGAGAGCCAAAGAGACACAGAGACAGAGACAGAGAGACTGTGTGGAGGAAGAGTACAGAGAGAGAACACAGAACATTTGAGAAGGCACGTTCACATTTTAGGCTGGGATGCAGTTGCCTGCTGATGAGGTAATAAGGCACCAGATGAGATTCCGGAGCAGCTGAGCTGCTGCATGTATACAGAATTCTTACACCCTTCCCTTCTCCTCCACCTATTTACCACCCATAACTGGTGTCCTCTTAAAGGATAAGGTAATCATGTCAGGCCTCTGAGAAACTCTGAGAAGCCTTTAGAAGGCAGAAAATTGTGGTTGGTCCCCATCTCCCCAGATTAAAGCCAGCTTCTTAAAGGGTTGTAGAGATGGCTACAGAGCACTTGCCGCTCTTCAAAACACTGCGTTTGGTGCCCAGTACTTAGGAGCACATACCCTCCTGCAGGCAGACAGGCAAACAGGTAGGCAAGCAGACAGAATGAAGAGAACTGAGAAGGAGCTGAAACCCTGATTATTGCTCTTAAACTGACGAAGCTGTCACTAACCTAGTCGTCAGTGCTATCAGAGATCTGAGAAGGATGACTTTCACCTGAGTAAGCAGGAAGTACAGACCAAGCCACTCCCAAATCTATTAAAAACCACAGTGACATGCTAGCTCCCTGGACAATCACCGTGGGTTCCTCTGCGGTCTTTGGGGACAGAGGTCACAGGGCAAGGCCAGTCTGTAGCCACCAGACTGTGAACATCTGACAGGCTTTCCTGTGGAGTAGAGACTTGGACGGAACTGGCCTACCCTGCCTAGGGAAAGGGAGGCAATCAGCTCCCCATATCCTGCATGTCTACAGTTTGCACAGGGTCCTGGTGGCAGGCAAAGCAAAGGGTAGTTTTTCATCCAATGGCTGGCTTTGTCACATTTAAAGCCAGCTCCAGGTGGAGTTCTTCTGGGCCCTATCATCTTCTTTGGAGAGCTTGTGGTCACTGCCAGGAGCTGGGGTCTCTGTCTGCCATAGTAAACTTTTTCCATTAAACATTTTAACAGCTATTTTTTTGCAGATCTCTGAAGAGTTTGAGGACCATCTACCTATTAATATCTATACTAAACAAACTTGGCTTGTTGCTAGTTATTTGTTTCAGGCTTAGCTCTCAATAGATATACACAAGGCTAAATAGTGCTTGTTCCTGTAAGTTATCACATTAGTACATAGCATGACTACAAGTATAGTTCTGAACACATTAAAGTATTTGATCATTTATACGGTGCCTATTAACTTGAATGTCTTAATCATCTTTAACAGTTTTCAATATGTTAATATCTTTTATAATATTTGGATTTTATAGCTTTATCCCTGTTAAGCTTGAGCCTTAAAAACAACAATTTTTGAATCAAAGTTCTTTTTGTATCAAAATAAAACTTTTAAACATAGCCACAGTCCATAGGGAGACTGGCCACTTTTCTGATCCTTTTAGAGTGCACCATTATAGAATATTGCAGTTTTTGTGTGGCTTAGTTTATTCAAATAGCTAAAGCTTAAAGTGAGCAAAGATGCAGAAGCTAGACAACTATTACTGTGAATCCGAGTGGACCTTAGACATCTCTAATTCTTATTTATCAAATAACACCTCATTTATCAAACATATGTTGTTACTTACCTAAAATTTTTTTCGAAGCCTAGTGTTGAACACTTAGCAAAAACATAAGTAGTTAGGTGTAAATCTCCAAGTCAGCTTTTGTTAATCTGAGAAGATCGTTATAATCTTAAAATTTCACCATCATATACAGTATATTCCAAACCAGAGTTGAATCACATGTGTAGTGTAGCAAATGTAATCTTACATTTCTATCATCATACAAAAATCCATACCAAGCTACTGTATTTTGGAGACTCGTTGCTTCTTTTGTCTGAGAAGAGGTACAGTGATAAACTACAGGGCTTAGTGGGCTGATTTTATACTTGTTGCTGTATGCCACATGGTCATCTAAAAATGAAGTCACTTGGTCTGTACTCCTTAACCTTAGTCAAGGTGACTGCTAGTCATGTGGCTGCTTACATCTTCATGAGGTCATCAGCTAAGATGGTTGCTGCTTAAAACATGTTTTCCTGGTAGATCTATTTTTCAAAACAAGAGTTGAATCCAAGTTACATAAAGAATGTACTCTGCACCAGAGTTAAATCACATACATAGGATGTGGTAGCAAATTAAAATTCCTATGTATAGGTTTTATTATAAGCCATTTGCTGTAACTTTGTAGCCAAGTTTTATTACAGATTTTACAGATCCTATAACCACATGCAATGAATTTACAAATCCTGAAATAAGCCCTGTTTACACAATAGTCTTTACAGATTTCTTGAGAGCAGAACACAGAAATCATAGAGATAAAAGATTTAAGAGTGGAAAGTTGTAGAACCTTAGAGATAAGAGACTTTGGGATCACTGGCTTGTGCTGGCAGAAGCTGTTACAGTCTATGAGAATTTGGAACTTGAGTGTGCTGTCTTTGGCCATTGAGCTCTACTGAGGCCAGGCTGTTTTCAGTAAGACAGCGAGCAAGACTTTGTAAGAAAATCTCTGAGTCTGAGAAAGGAATTGAGTCAGAGGAGAAAAGGTCGAGAAAAGAACTCCACCATGGGGAGGGTTAGGCAGCTAAGAAGAAGAGAACAGTGTGACCCAAGGGACAAGGAGGAACTAGCAGGAGCTGCACTGAGGGAGGGCTCCAATGTCACAGAAGGCACGAGGACATAGGGAAACTGAGGGACTTAGCAGGCAGCTCCTAGGGGAGGCAAGGCAACTGGCAAGATGAAAGCCCAGGAGGGCTGGAGAAGAGACAGACAGGTAGCTCTGAGGGGAAGGAGGCCAGGAAAGGGTCACAGACCCAGGAGCGTGTGGAGAAGCTGTGGAATTTAGTAGGCAGCTTCTACCGGCAGGTGAGGAAGTTCCAGGAAGGCACTGAGATGAGCCGTGAGGGAGCTGCATGGGTAAGTGCTGTAGTAACAAGAATTTCAATCCAGGGTGTCCCCAAGCAGACTTAGAGACTAGTCAAAGAGAAATGTCCCAAAGCACAGGGGGAGACATCCATGTCGCAAGTGCAGGAAAACATATGGACTCCAGCTACTATCCCAGAAGCTACTACTTGGAAAGGTCAAGGACTTTTCTGAAGGTCAAGCCATGGCTTAAGAAGGCTTGGTGATATTTTGGCTTTTGTATGTACAATGATTTTCTTGTAGCTATATATGCTTCCAAGAACTCCTAACAGTGTATTTTATCTGAAATACCTGTCAAGTACCCAAGGCCAAATGATCTCCTGAATTAAGGCCAGTTAAACTCAGGCCCTCCTTTCTTATACAGCTTTAGTGGTGTTTATACTAACATCATAGACTCCTAAAAGTTACCTAACCACCTCTAGGAATGTAGTTTGAGCATATAAATTCCCTTTTTTTGATATACTATCTAATCTTAGCTCTTAGTTGACTTCCTCTACCACTCGCCTTTTGGGTTGTAAAAGAAAGCCTGATGGTCGCTGCCTGCCTTTATGACCCTGTAAGAAATCAAGCCTGAGCCGCGTGGTGGTGGCGCACACCTTTAATCCTAGCACTCCCGAGGCAGAGGCAGGTGGATCTCTGTGAGTTCGAGGCCAGCCTGGGCTACAAAGTGAGTTCCAGGAAAGGTGCAAAACTACACAGAGAAACCCTGTCTCAAAAAAAAAAAAAAATCAAGCCTGGTGAGCTTGCCTTAGCTAGAGCACTGCTATTGCATGGTATATAAGTGTGAACCTCAGAGACAGAGGAGGATTTTGACTGGAGAACTAGAAGAATGAGATAGAAGATGGGAAGAGTCAGATGGGTAAGAAAGAGATGAGAAAGACCAAGATGGGGCAGAACTAAGATGAGAGAATTAAGGTAGAACTTAGAGGGGACAGCAGATAAAGGTAGAGAGGGATCAGGCAAGGAAGGAGCTGGGCGTGAGAACAGAACTGAAACTGTGTAGACAGAATTTTATCCCAGAGGAATAAAGAAGACGGACGAAAGAGTTCGGTGTACTTAGATTTATTTCTTGCAGATTATTCCCGCTGTTCGTAGCTTCTCCTCTGGGCCCCTGGGAAGAAGATCATCAAGGCTGGACCATGATAATTTTCAGTGAACCCCTTTGTCTTTGAAAGTAGAATTGCACACGTGGTGGGCACCCCAAAAGGGTGTCGCAGGGGGTGGACACTTGCTGAGTAGGTAAGCACAGGTGGATGTTTGGTAATGTGGGGGAAAGAAGCAGCTGAAGAAGTGGGCTCTAGAATCAAGTGATGGGTGGCGAAAGCCAGCAGGAACATACTGAGAGCTCCAGGGGCTGCGGTATCCCATCACCATGGCAACCTTGTTTCTTCGGGCATTTCTAGAAGGCCAGCATGGGCCAACAAGAAGGATGCAGAAGTGCTGGTGTTGGGATGGAGATGGTGGGGGTCTCCTTCTGTGAACCCCATCTCCTGTCACCTGTGGTCCTAGGAGCCAGTGTCTGTGTGGACCGCTTTTGGAGAGCCAGGTTAAGTGCTGTTAAGGAGAATTCAAGGGATGGGCTTGGCTGCTGCCCCAGCCTGTCTAGGACTTGCAAGTAGAGCACATGAGAACCCAAGATGGAGCTCCAAAACCCGTGTGAAAGTTGCCTGCAGTCTCTTCCCCTGGTCCTTCCACATGTGAGGAGTGCTAGCTGCATGCTTTCCTCTGCCAGCGTGCCTTCCCTGCATCGACCCACCTACATCCCAGCAAACCCGGAGGCATGAGGAACCTTCCCTCCCTAAGCTGCCTTTTGTCG